GGTAGCTTTTTTATGCAGCTCATCTACCGGATAATTCGATCCCTTATCCCACAGATCAGAGGGATATGTCTTGGTCAGATTGTTTTACCTCGATCTATTGCTTTGGAAATTTTGACAGCAGTTATCAGATGATTTCTCCATAAAGTGAACTGTTTGCAAAAACTTAAAAAGAACAAAACTGAATCACATTCCGCGACCGAAATAGATCTGTTACAGTGATGACAAGTGCCAATTTCCTTTCATGATCCTGAGATGACCAAAAACATTCCGTTCATACGATAATAGAAGTCGTCAATTTCGAAACTGTCATCACGCAGATTTTTTTTTTGAAATGAGCTTCTTTCCACATATCGTTTTCCGTCAATTTCGAAACGAAACGGAAAACGATATGTGGAAAGAAGCTCATTATGATACAGTCATCGCCAAAAGTTTAACTTAAAAAGTCGCAGAGTTCACTAATGAGGCTACACTGTTGCGCATGAAACGCTATACAACTGCCCCGCGCGAAATTCCTCCACGATATTCATCTGCATAAACATAACATCATTACTGCGACTATTATATTACCGTTATTGTGACATTTCATTCTGATTATCAATATTCGCATTCTTAGGTTTCAGCTTAGACTGGGGTTGATGCTAAGGCTTAGGCTGAGGTTTATTTCGAGGTCACGATCGAAACTCAGGTAATGCTGTGACCAAACGCGAAGAGAAGTCCTCTATCGCAATTAGTTTGAAGTAAGTTGTCGCAGTCAATTGTCGAGGGAGCGGTTATCTCAGTGGCAGTTCTCCTGGAATCACATAAAACATGTGGATGTTGCTGGCAAAATTGATTGTTGCGGTAAATTCGCATTTTTAGCGCCGTAGTCCGACTTTANGGGACGGAAAGAGTCAAGCATGAAGCTTGTGCTCGGGGACTACGAAAATGGAGGACGAAATTATTTGTTGCCCGCAACACACGAGATCACAGTATATTACAGGGAACGCTAACCAGACGCAACGTTTCCGGTGCTAGCCAGCGAACAGGCATTTGTCTAAGTTTATCCACACTAATCGTATCCTGATCAGCAACTGATAAACCAAAATCACTTATCTTTGCTTCATCATTCTTACCGATTAAACAGTTTCGTGCAGCAATATCGCGATGAATCACCTTCAACAAATACAGCATACTAATAAACTTAAGAGTGCACACAACAATTGATGAACATCTAAACAATATCTCCAGATGCACTGTTGATATTTTCTTTAATCTGACGAATAGAGATGAAACTTGAAGTCTGCTCCAAATTCAACGTTGGTCGTGAATTGCTGCCTTGGAAAGGTCAGAAGATATTTTTGAGACGCAAAAGACGACTCAACTTAAGAAATTAGCTGTGCTACAATAGTGGTATGCGCAATGTAACGTAAAATCACTGACCGTATTGGTCGACAAATAAACCATTCCTCGTGCAGCGTCAGTTGCATAAGCCACTAATTTACTGATCGGTATCGATGGATTGTACTTCAATTTCTTGTTCAATGAACCATTCGGACATAATTCGAGTATTATCATTACTGGATCTTCTTGTGGTGCGACTCCTAATAAATTCACTATATTCGGATGGTTAAATCTACGCATAAGCTTTGCTTCCTGAAATATTCATTCTATTTGAACAATCAAAGCAAATGAACAGAGTGGTGATTTTTAAGGAGAGCACAAAAGAATTGTGAATGACAGTTTTGAGTGGCACCAGTTTATCTTGAAGCGTTCTTAATCTGGAAAAAGAAAGATTATTTGATAAGTGATTCCTTCCCGTGGTTGCACCTCGCTCTGATAGTAAGCAATGAGTTGCTCTACAGACGTTACAGAATGATATGATGAGATAGATGCCTATGGAATTATGTTTAACCTACTCATGGTAAACATTGTGAATCAAGGAATGAACCGATTTGAAAATAAGAAATTTAAAAATATATTCCTCATTTCTGTGCAATAATTAGGTTACAATATCATCAAAGAAATTATTTTTCCAAAGATTAAAACGCATTTCGTATTTTTCTCGAACTAATTTCTGGATACGAATCAAATTGCTGCATAATTTTGTCAGTCAACGGCTCAGTGCAATATGCAACAAGATAAGATGCACTACTCTCGGTTGTACTAAAAACAGTTGAGCAAAAACCTTCATGAAAACAGCACGTTGTCTTTTTGTCATCAATCCCTTGAGTTTCTTAATCGCAACGTCAACAGCAGATCCATCGTTCTTTTTCAACGTCCCTATGTGAACATCCCCAAATGCACCAGCTCCAATTTGATCTTTCAGAATGACGTGATCATGTAGAATGTAGTAATCGGGCCGAGGTACTGGATGGGCCAAGATTGTACATAA